GTGCGATACGAGAAATTCTTTCGCGTCCGGAGTATCGAGGAGATTCGCAAATAGAATATTCTGAACTCACTCGCAACAAGATAGCGCGCGCTCCTGAACGGGAGGCTTCGTCTTATTCTTGGACAGAATTCTTTTTACACTGTATTTTTCACGATATTAAAAATTATTTTTTAAGTTCTTATAATTTATCTCGCAAATTTTCAGATTTATATCAGCTTCAGATTAATCTCTATACTATTATTTTGTACTTTTTTAATGTTAAAATTAATTGTTTCTCTAAATATGAGCTTCGTGAATTTGGACTATTATAAATATCAGACTAAAACATTCACAAACGTTCAAAGATGGTTTGCAGATGATAGTTACACAACTGGTTTTCGGTATTACGAACGTTCCGCACGTTGATTTAAGAGGTCGGCTAGCAGGCATTTCTCCAAGCAACATAGTCGAGCGATCCAATGCTCTATTTATGAGCATGTAATATAGTCTTGATCTGTTGGATTATTTAATTTATATGGCTAGCTATGTTGAGGATTAACGAAAAATTATTATTATAACACGTCTTGAAATCATACAAGCAAAATACGTTCATTATCTGGCTGTGCTATTTTCTAAAAATAAAAAATCAGATCTGTGATGTACGTTAATATTTTGAAAGAACTTTTGAGAAGAGAAAATTCTGTGCATTTATATATATATATAAAGTGTTATAAAATTTGGAATATATATTAATTATAGAGTTTAAAATATTTTAATAAATTATTAATTAATTAATGTGAAACATTTAGAAGATATCTTAAAAATGCACAATTCCAAAAACCACACAATTTAAACCAACAATGAAAACTATGAGTAAGTTATTGTTAAAAGTGTCATACTTCTCCAGAAATTAAATTAATAAGATTATCTTAAATCATTAAAACTACTTATTGTGAAAATATTTTTTAATCAAATGTCATTTCGACGTCAACTATCAAAAATTGAAAATTTAAGTTTTTTTAATAAGATAATATACTTAAAATATTGAAGTTATTGCATAGTACTGTACTCTGTTATATCTCGTATCGGTATACAAGCTTACTCTACATAGCGAATCTGGTGCCTCCAGATTGCATCATCGTTGTGGTATATGGGTCGTTAGTCGATGCGCATAATCTTCGATCGCAATCGTGGCTGGTGGACCGATTATACCTGGCTTGGCATATCGATCCCACTAGTCGATACGGATATCGAATTCGAATCTTGGGGTGATCCTTCCCGACACAGACGGCTGCGAGATAGAACCGGAGGCACAATTGCAAGCAACCCAGTTTCGGGAATGAATGGCAAATGAGCGCAGGAGTTCTCAGCGAACATGGTGCTCTGCGGGAAGTCTTAACCCGTGCACTACTAAAAACGATCGTAATTGCTCAACGGATTACATCAAATGTAAGGAATTATGAAAATGACTATCTACGGAATTAGACTATCTATGAATGTGATTATCTGTGGAAAGGCTTGTATAATTCACAATTTTTATAATAATAAAAATATATGGAATATATCTTTTATTATTATAAAGATTGTGAATTAGGGAAAAAGAATATACATATAAATATTTAATAAAATTAGATAGAACTAGATAGATTAATATACATAGATCTAGATAGAACACAACAATTGCTCATGAAATTGAAAATTTATAGTATTAAGAATTCATAAATGTGAATGTAAAAAAAATCGAAAACTAAAAATTTTGTAATTTCAGCTTGATACAGACATTCTATAGAAATCTAAAAGTCTCTACTATGGAAACAAAATCTAGGGAATTCGAGAATATATAATAAAATATTTATATAATGCGATACAAATACTTGAATACTAACATCATTTTATATGTATTGAATTATTAGATAAAAATTATAATAAAAAATGTAGAGAAGAATAAAAGCTTTCACAATAAACGTTTGTGAGAGCAATTGAGAGTTTACAAAATAAAGAGTATGAAGAATCAAGAATTGTAAATAAAGTGCATAAAGAAGTGCAACAAAGAGAGAAATAACATTTTATTATAATGAAACTTCCTTTTAGACTAATTTACTAATTCATATGTATGTTATGTTTAAACAATCAAATGTTAACATTTTTACAAATATTTCTAGTAAATATATCTTTTCATCGATTATTTTTATTTACAGCATCTTTCGTCATTCTAAAACGGTATGATGATATGGTTGCTCGTCTTTAATAGATTAGCAACGGCGTGTTGATCGAGTATACTCTTACTTGTTCCGTTTCTCGCAATGCCGTGAGTCATTCATTACGACTGGCAGCACATCGAGGATCTCTTGAATGTTTCCATCGAGCTTTCTCATCGTCGTTAGAACTTAGTGACGGCGTTAAATTTAACGAGTTCAATAATTAAATTAAAAATAAGAACTTCGAAAGTGGCTGAGATCGTAACTCTTTGTTCATCGCTCTCGTTGAAGTATAAATTGCTCGATCGATATAATTCAAACGTCGTAAAAATTGATGGCTTATTTTTCTGGCATGTAATAACCATCATAATAAATGGGAATGTTAGACTAGCTGCCATTTTCCTCGAAAGGAAGGTTCACAATATACCTATAAATGATATCCCTTTCTGTTTCCCTTTCGTGATTCTTTTCTCTCTCTCTTTCCTTTTACATGCAGTTATTTTGTTATGGCGCAATAATGCATCATCTTGGCTGGAAGAGCTTAACTTTATGATACAGTTATTGCATTTTTATTTGCCAAGAATAATCACCTCACTAATTTTTTATGAGTCTTTATAAGACAGGTAGTTGAAGCTGTTAAACGATATACATATATTCAGAAATTCATGTAATAAAGAATGTTACATTAAACATTTTTTATCTTTTAAGAAGTATATTTATAGTAAAGCAATACATAGCAATTAAATATTATCGATAATTACTAATATGGATGCAATGTTTGCAGAACAAAGCATCATAAACGATATAGAGGTCTATTGACTATTGTACTGAGCTATTATATTCGTGTATCGCAATTAAAAATAAAAAGATTTAATTGACCGCACTTTTTATTCGAAAATTTTGACAGTATTGAAATAATATGAATATTTTAAACATACACAGAAAAATATATGAGTGCTTACACACGTGTTTCTGTCACGATAACATTCATTTACTCCAAAAACGTATGTATTCTATTTCAATCGCATAATTGCTAAAATATTCGCTTGTAATGAATTTTATCCCGCAGCAAAATCCGCACAATTACATTTGACATAAATCGATTTTAATACAACGAACAATAAATAATCGTACGTATATCGCACTACTACGCACTGATGCTTCTCAATTCTTATCTGTTTATGAAGATCTAGTGTATTTGTCGCGAGCACATAGCCAGTCATCAATTCATTGCGCAGAAAATCTCATTGCACACGTTCGAACGAATATGCCGAAATGATTTCCATATTCACACAAGCGATTGATCATACGATGAATCTACTTTTCCAAACACGATTTCCATGCATTTTACTCATAAATATCGTTTATCCCAAAAAATCGTTTGTTTCGATGACCTCTCAATATATCGTTGTAACGGACACTGCTACCGTAATATCTGCCATTACAGGAAAGTACAATATATTAGAATTTTAATGATTTTTTTTTAAATCATTAAATATTCTCTAATTTTTTAAATTTTTATATCAAATTTTTTGACAATTAAACTTTAACTTATATTAATATTCATTGAACGTTTTATTTAAAAAACAGATAAATATTTAATTGCTAAGCATTAAAAAACATGCAAAAAATTTATTAAACAAATTTCTCTACCCCCTTAAAATACCGCCAAATTATTTAAATTTAATGCTCAATATTTAATTTTTAATTATATTCTTTTTAATTATAATAATAGAATATCTTTCTAATCCTATTTCTTTTCCTAACTTATCCAATTTCTTTCCCTAACTTATTTATCTTTAATATTCAATAACACTTTAATTATATTTCAATCTTTACATATTTCACCATATAAAAACATTTTTATTAAAATAATTCTATTTAATTTTTTTAACTTTTTTTTAATATCAGTTATTAATTAATTAATTAAATTTACTTATAACACATAGTTTAACCGCTGTTGCTGGCACTATCATTTTATCATTATTTTTATATAAATTACTAAATTTAACCTATTCAATTTAATTATTATAAATATTAATTATTAAAATTATAAATTATATTTAAATTTTTATTTTTTAAGTATTAATGGAATGTATTTTATGATAAATTTCATATAAGATGAATCAAAGATGTTTTTTCTTTTAACTAAAGAATTATATTTTGCAATTACTTTATTTGAACGTTTAGTATAATAAATAAAATAACAGACAAAAAAAAATGGTTTTCTTATCTCTTATTCGTGTTTAAATAATTTAGAATGTTAAAAATGCATGTTAAATCTTGTATTTAAAACAGTAATGCAAAAAATTAACAGAAAAGTAAATGAAAGATAACGACTTGTTACTTTTTAAATAACTGTAGTAACTATAACGTAATATTTTTCAGAATAACATATAACGATAATTAATTATTTTTAAAGTAACTTTCTCAATCCTGCCGGAAACAGCGTTGCATCGACACATATTTGTGCCAATAATATGACGTTTTATAAAACATTCCAACGATTTCCAGCGTTATCACGTTCGATTTTCAATCTTGTGTACGAAATAGGGAAGAATCCTTAGAATAAGACCAGGCGAATTGCATTCACACTCGTCTCTATGTAACTACAAGACGAGAGCAAACCGCAAACCGCGGAAAACGGCTTCTCATCGTTGCATTTTTCAAAAAGCGCGCGAAACGAACTTTACACTCGAACCCGCACTCTAACGTCGACGATCGGCAGTCTTATCAATAATAAATGTCATTTTTATTGTGTATGCCCAGACGCTTTCAAGGTGCGGGAGTACAAAACTATATCGTTATCTCTTTTATTTTCAGATGCGCCATCCGATCCAAATGAAGCCGGCCGACAGCGAGAATCGGAATGGTGAGTTAAAAATTTAATTATTTTTTTGAGACGCGCTAAGATTGCTAATTAAATTTTTAATATTGCGACAGACCGCATTGTAAGTAATGGCATTGAATTAATTTTCAAGGAAACCAAAGTATTGTTACTTCATGAGAAAACAAATTTGCACTTTTATTATATACACTCAGCAAAGATTGAGATAGTAACAATCTGTTTTATCGATTGATTTATTTAAAGCAAAATATGTGATAATACACTACAGCAACAGAAAGCATGTAATTTTAATAGGAAATTAAAAGATGTGGTAGCATCTTACATCAAATATATTTTTTACAAATCTTACATATTTTTCCGATCCGTTTCATTGGAAACAAACTTCAAATTTTTTTCGTATTGAAGTCTAGTTTTAAGAAGAGGTAAATTTTGAGTTACATTTTTAACATCAAATATAATTTTCGAGTATCTTGTTTGATCGCTCGATCGCTTCGAAGTTCTGGCACGATTAAGGATGGAATTTCGAGCAACGTGGTATGACGGTATAACCGAAAGAGAAGATAACAATAACGGTCGCGAAGATAAAGTTAACTCTCTTTGTTCGGCGGAGAATGCAGCTCAAAGCACGTTCATTAGATACTAATTAATTGGCTGAATTGAGGGGCTTGTCGAGATTGCGTAGTCAAAGAAGACATAAGCGAGCTATGAAGTGGTAGGATGATAAGGTAGGCCAAGAGAATTGTGAGAATGAGCAGAGGCGAACAAATTTTGCCGACAACATATAATTACAAAGAATCGATTTGCAAGCGAATTCTTATGTGGCATATTCTTCTCTTCTTTATCTACTTTATTTTTTAAATCTTCGATTTTTTTTCTCATTGACAAATTTATTTGAACAGTATGTTCATAAATGTCGTGATAAATCGCAGACATTGTAAAGATACCAGATATTAAAAAATTTTGAATATTACAATTCCCTCACTTAGGGAAGCAGAAAGTACGATAAAAAAAAATAGAAGGGCTCGAGAGAATAGGCGCTGTTCAGAATAATATCAGATATTACTCTAGATATTATTTTAAATACGTAGATAATATTTAAATATCCCATTCAGAAAAATCAGTATTTTATACAAGAACGAAGAAGTATTTTATATAAGAGTACTAGAGTATACTAGATACAGCTAGATACAAGAATAAAACTTCTGAAGGTTAATTAACATTAATTCTTCTCTGTCACTGTACCGTATAGTCCGCATATTTTATAAATTCAAAATATAAATTCTATTTGCTATATACATTTTAGATATAAATATATATGTACTATGAATTAATGAAATGTTAAACAAATCTTAATTTAATGCTTGTTTTTAACAAATTATCAAAACCTATTCAAGAGCTTATCAAAAGTAAAAAATGTGATTGAAAAAGTAGGAGAAAGATAATCATCACTCGTGAATATTAGATATTCATGTAACAGATTTTACTTTGAGTTTTCTTCCATCGATCGAAAAAGGGTCATGTAAAAATTCGAGAACGTCGAAAAGCGCAGCGGATAGTACTGCGAAAACCAACAGGAGAGCCAACGAACGTGGCAAAACGCGCGATTTTTTTACGGATAACTGCGCCGCGTTAGCAATAAAAATTCGACTACCGGCTGGACGGGGGTGTAACGTAAAGCGTACATAAAACCGGCCACGTCGGTGGGACGACGCAAAACGAATGCTAATGAAATATTAACGACACCCGTCACGTGCTGCGCTGGGCTGGACCGCTCCGTTCCTCTCTTTCCTCTCCCTTTTTCTCTGTTTCTTGTCTTTCTCTCTCGCGTGATCGTTCACTCTCTCATTCCATGCTTTACCCTTTACGCTCCTTTTCCTCCTTTTTACTCATCCCGTTTGTCTTCCTCTTTTTTTTTTTTATTTTGTGCCGCATAAGAACTCCTCCTCCCACGAAGGATGTTCATGCGCGGTCGTTTTTTACATCGAAGCGCAACACCGTTTCAGGCGCAGCCTGTGTGCAAATGACATGCCAAATTGTAATCACGCCAAGATTCAAGCGGCTTTACACCTTGCGTTTAGCGTTAACCGAAACCTGATTCTGACACTTTGTTTGTTACGGTCGAGCTTGCGCAGTTGCATGAACAAGATCCTGGATCAAGTAACCACGTTACATGGACCGACGCTCGATCTTGTTTACTAGCAGTTAAACAGAAGTTACTTCATTGGTTAACCATTCAATCGCGACGGCTTCGCAGTTGAACTTGCTTTAATTTTTCAATCAAATTAGTAAAGATAATTCTGAATGATAAAAACGTGATCATAGGAAAGAAATCCAATTGGTCATATAATTAAAAAGAAAATCTACATTTTACGAACAATTTCTAAAATTCCTTAATATAATTAAATATGTTTTCTCATAATAACGTATAAGAGGAATATTAGAATGCATAACATAATAGCAAATGGAGCATTATTAGAATATAATAAAGTGCAATAACAACAAATAAAATAACAACATGAAAAAAAAATTAATTGTAGCAAAAAACAATCTTATCTCATAATGGTGTAAATGTAGACATTTTCTTTTTTCTCCCCGATCTAATTCTTATTAAAATGATATATTTTCTAACAAAATTAAAATTTATAACAATGCCATTCAGAGAAAAGAGATTTGTAAATTTGAAATAATAAAAATGAAATATTGAGGACTGTAGGAAATATTACTAATCTATAACTTTTATCATTGTTACAATTAGATCATATAATATAAATTTATTACATTTAATTTAAAAAAAAAGCTTTCTATTCCTACTATACATTCATATTTTTATTGAAAATCTGTAAATTACGAAATATAAAAAGAAATAATATATTATTGTCTCTATTATATTAGAAAAAAAAACCAAATATAATGAATGCAGAGATTAAAATTTATTAAAAGGTGTAATGATAAAAAAATTTATAGTATGATACTTGGACGTGACGCTTAAAAATACAATGTAAAGGCAAAATTACAAAATTTATTGCAACATATCGTATCACAAGAATAGCCAACGGAATTAACGTTTATGTGTTTTAAATGAAATTTAAAATGTTTATACAAATCTTAAATATCTATCAGAATGATCGTAAAAAAAAATAATTCTATAGAATTCTATAAAATAGGACATAATGGATATTAGATCATATAAAATTTGGTTATCTTAGTTATGATAATTATCTGATTTATCTCTGAATTATTGTTGATTTATTGAGTTACTGATAAGCAGCAAAATTTCGTTTTATGACATCAGCAAAGCGAACAGAACTGGGGTACAAGTGCATAACATCCGTTATATATAAAAATGAATAGACACGACGTGGTGTAACCGAAACTGAGATCAGGCTATTCGTAACCACGCGCACGTGCAATACGGAAAAGGATTTTTCTATATAGGATGCGAAACGTGCGCGGTGGCGGCCGACATGAATAGTGCCGTTGTAGCTACATGCAAATCCCGGTAAAACGGGAAAATAATAAATAAGAAGAGAACGTTTTCTGGTATCAGAATATTATAGTTGTCTTATCGTTAGGTGACTCTCATGAACACCGCAACTGACATAAGCCGAATTCAGATAAAGCAACTCGCGAGTTCGCGTACAAAACGCGAGATTAATCGCAAAAGCGCAAAACTTACTTTCTCGAAAACGTGGCACATTGACACTTTTATATAACTAAATTTTTTTATTATGAAATATTCGAACCATGTTCCGATATTTATCGACATGAATTTATGAAATTATAAACTTCCAGTGGAAGAATGATATTAAATAGCAACTATAGTTGTAGAATATTATTTATCACGTTTGTGCCGCATGTGTCACCGATGACCCATGCTGGACTTTTAGGCCGTTTGATATTTTGGCTAATAATAAAAAGAAACATATTTACATAAAAAAATTTTTAATATTATACGTAGACAGAGATAAGCTTTCTTTTTTATATTATTTAATAATAACAATTTTTATAATTCTTTTAACTATTATGAGATAAGTATATGTTATTTAACTTATGTTTTTTTAATGTAACAAACATAAGCAAAATATAGTGGATTATCGGTGACCTGCGCGAAATGATCAAATTATTTGAAATTGACTCGATACGGATCATGTTAATGATATTTAGTGAAGACAAATTTTAAATAACTTTTACTATGAGAAAAGAAATCAACTGTTTTTAACGTATGTTGAGACATTAAATTTGAGTCTGCCATCGAAAAAATTCCATCAAGTCAAATTTAAAGATACAATCACAAATTTTGAGATATAGCATTTTTTCCAAATAATTTGGGTCAACAAGTGATGAACGAGACGAACGTTTCCACTAGGATGGAATTTTCTTCTGTTCGATCAATGCAACTTTTTAAAAACAATTCTATAAGATTTTCAAGATAATGTAAGCGAAACTCGTTTCTACTTATCAATTCGTATTATTTTATATTAACATCGTACTGCTAACCTCGCAATTGAGAAAACTACTGAACGGAGGACGAACATAATATCTTGTCCTATAATTATTCTTGTCAATGACGTAGCGATGGGTGGACCATTTTAGCGGTATTTCCGATGGGATGCACACCAATCAACGGACCTCTGTCACAACGTCAAGTGCGACAGCTCAACGAAAAGAAGAACGAAGAGAGTGAAAGCTTTATTTATATCCGTGACATTCTGTTTATTTTGGCTAACAGACTAGGCTCGCTCCGGGCTCTAGCTAGTAACGGTTCTAGCTGATTCCTTCCTTACGGGTTCCATTTCATCCCGATTGTTTCAGCCATTGGTTACATAATGTCTTAACAAACATGAGCCTCGAAAATAAATTGGATGTCGATTTCTTCATGGAAAACAATTAATAACCGGGCGCTAATAATCGCAAATTAACACTATACACACACACATTTGTCTGCAATTCAATCTTTAAACTTTTCAACCTATTCCTCTAGCTTGAACCTGATAGATACAACGTGTTCTTCATTTTGCTATCAA